GAGAGAGAGAGAGAGAGAGAGAGAGCGCATGAGAGGGGGGAGGGTCAGAGGGAGAAGCAGACTCCCCGCTGAGCAGGGAGCCCGATGTGGGATTCGATCTCGGGACTCCTGGATCATGACCTGAGCCGAAGGCAGTCGCTTAACCAACTGAGCCACCCAGGCGCCCACTATCTATTTTTTAAGTAAGCTCTATGCCCAAAGTGGGGCTTGAACTCATGGCCCCAAGATTAAGAGTTGTGTGCTCTACCGACTAAGCCAGATACCCCAGAAGGGCTGAATTTTTATTTATTTATTTAAAAAGATTTTACCTATTTGAGAGAGAGAACACAAAAGCAGGGGGAGAGGCAGAGGGAGAGGGCGAAGCAGGGACGCCTGGGTGGCTCAGTCAGTTGAGCGTCTGCCTTCAGCTCAGGTCATGATCCCAGGGTCCTGGGTTTGAGCCCCGCATCGGGCTCCCTGCTCAGCGGGGAGCCTGCTTCACCCTCTCCCTGTATCCCTCCCCGCTGCTTGTGCGCATGTACCCCCTCTCTCTCTCTCTCACACTCTCAAATAAGTAAAATCTTAAAAAAAAAAATAAAGATTTATTTTAGAGAAAGTGAACGAGAGTGTGGGCACACACATGGGTAAAGGGCAGAGGAAGATGGAGAGAATCTCAAGCACACTTCCCGCTGAGCACAGAACCCAACATGGGGCTCGATCTCATGACCCTGAGATCATGACCCAAGCCAAAAACAAGAGTCGGATGTAATTACCTGACTGAGCCACCTAGGTGCCCCCCCAAGGACTGAATGTTTAACAAAACTGTGGAAAGATACACACAAAATTTACCATCTCAGCCATTTTTAAATGTTTACAGTCCAGCACTGTTAAGTACATTCACATTCCCACCATCTCCAGAGCTCTTTTCATGCTGCAAAACTGAAGCTCTGTCCCCATTAAACCCTAACCCTCCAGCCCCTGGCACCCACCGTCTCCTTTCTGAATTTGATGACTCTAGGGACCCCAGATGAGTAGAACCAGAAGGTGTTTGTCTTTCAAAGAAAACTGTACTTTGAACAGGCTCCCTAAGTGACTTCCAGACTAAGCACCCTTCTCATCCTCTCCCTGTTCACTTTCACTCCTATTCCAAGCCGTTTTTACTGGACCTTTTGTTTTTGGAACTAAGTAGTTTATTTTTAAGGACATAGATAAGAAAGGACAGACATACCCCTTATCTTTTGAGAAACAGCCATATTCAACACAGCAGAAAACAGAGGCGGTTCTTTTCAAGGCCAGTAACTAACTTTTTATTCTACTTGGGCTCCCCCTGTCCACCCTTTCAACATTTGCATAAACACCACCATGAAGCTATATTAATAGTGCACGTTTAAAACAACGCCAGACAAAAGTCGGGATTCCAGTAACACAGACACTCAACAGCTAATACTACAGTGAGGCCCTTAGTTTCATGTGGAGTTCCTAATGCTATAAATGCTAATAAAAATGGATGGCACTTAATTGTTACTTTTATCAAACTAAGACATACAAGGAGAACAGTGAAACCTTGGAAGAGAAGGAAATCTTTATACTGAAAAACTTCATTCCCTTTATTGATATAAATGTTACGCCACTTCTGACATTTTACTCACCTGGACTTAAAAAAAAAAGAAAAAAGAGGGGGCACAGAAGTAGGAGGCATCTCCCTCTGCAAGCCTGTAAAGCAGCACATGCTTTCAGATGTGAGGGACAACAGGAAGGGACAGCTCGCCACCGTGATTTTGTTAACGCTGCTTATGAAGGGCATCTTGCTGGGGGGTGGGGGGGGTGCGCCAGCACTACCGTACTCTCCAACCAGCCCCTCCAACATATCCCCCTTCAAACTTACACGGTGGCCAGCTCACTCAGGGCCTCCTGGTAGCGCAGGTACTCACTCTGGCCAAAGACCTGAGGAAAGAGGAAGGATGAGAGCCCCTCAGGCCGGGATATCCCTTTAGTTCCCGGAAGGAAAAAGTGGCCATCCAGCTTACCCCCGTCCCATAGCGGGCTGTCTCATAGCCATCCAGCAAGGTATCAATGAGGGCCTTGCGCACACCCTTAAAAGGAGTACTAGTGTTCCGAAGATCTAGCAGGTAGGAGCGGAAATTCTTGCCCATTAAGGAACGGGGATGCCTGCCTTCAGCAAGAAATGGTATCTCTGTGGAGATAATAGATAACAGTGTTAACACTTCTCCCGTTTATC